TTTTTTTTTTTTTGAGAGGTTTTTGTTACAGGGCGCATGTGCTCGCCAGAGAGACAGAGAGAGACAGAGAGACAGAAAGTGAGAAATCACCCCCTGGGGGGATGGCTATGCTGCAATCCCTTCTCCTCCATTCTCCTCTCAGGAGCTTGGGCATGCACACATGCGCTGAGCATGAATTTAAGCCACCAGCTCCGGGACTCAAACCGCCGTTGACTACATGGCAGTCCAGGGACATAGCCATTATGCTAACTGCTGGTCCCAGGCAGGAGATTTTAATAGCCTTCTCAGATGATTGTGGGTACATCACGTTGCGTCATGAGAGAATGAAACCGAAAAAGTAAATAACACCTCGGAAGCTTTATGAAGACAGTCTTGTCCTCATGCCCTCCCTGAAAATGTCTGAGGACCTCCCAGGGGGGTGTGGGGAGCGGGGCCCTGACCGCACGCTGGGAACTGCTGTGCTAGCCCCTGAGAAAACTGACACCAGGCAGGGTAAGTGGTTTTCCTCAAATCACATGTTGGGTAGAACACAGAACACTTGGTCACCGCACTTCCCATTTCATGTCCCTGCTTTTGGAGAACTGCAGGCTGTAATGTGACCTTAGGACACCCTTTGGAAATGGTTCCTGAGTGGACTTAGGAGAATCCTAGGAGATACCAAAATATGATGGTTTCTTCCACCTTGGAGATTTAAAAGAAAAAAAAAAAGACCTCTGTGGTTGGCACATTAAAACTTTTTAGACAAAGTGCTATTAGGATTGTAAGTGGATTTGTAAAAACGTAATTTTGAAAACTTTTTTGTAAAGAACAAGTTTCTTCATATTTTTTCTTTTGAAAAAATTACCTTCAGATACATTTTGCAGCACTAGTAAATCAGCATGCTGAGGACAGTGGTAAATTTATCGTCAAGCATTATATTATATACTTCCACTGCACTCTCTTTCTAAAATTGTAATTTCTGTTTTACCTATATGTATTTTATCTTTGCGAGATACAGAATGTTTTCTTTCGATTGCTGGAGGCTGCATGCGCTTACCAGAGAGTGAGAAAGGGAAAACCCCCCAGCCAGGTGGTTCACACCACATTTCTTTATTCTTTGTTTCTCCATCCCATCAGGATCTTGGGCACATATGTGACATGTTTTGTTTTGTTTTCTCAAGCTCCCAGTGCTAGAATTCAAACCTCAGTCAGACATGTGGGAGCTGAGTCCCTGTGTATTGCTTTTAACCTGTACTATGGATCAGGCCCAGTGGAATGGGCCATCGGGTCCAGGACTCGAACTGTGGTCGTCCACGTGGGAGTCAAGTGCCTTAACCACCACGCCACCCGATCCCCTGCCCTGGGTTTTTAAAGCATTGTATAAACTGTGTAATCATCAAATTAAGGATCTGAGCATATTCACCATCCCACTTTTTAACAAATACAAAAAGATATATAAATATTATTTTAAACATTATATTTGTAATGAAAGATATGATACATTTAATTTTTGCTTACTGCCTCTTAGTAGCTAAAAAACTTGCTAGCCTCTTCTCTGTCAATACTTTAAAATAGACACTTAACTTCATTTTCCTTTGTTACATGTTTATCCATGACATGAGGCATTTTTCATGTCTAGTCCTCCATTCAGATGTTGGTTGGCTTTCTGATTGATTGACTGGTCCATTGATTAGTTTCGGCTAGGGGGGAACATGCACTGCCTCGACAAGGGCACAGAGAGGGGAGGAGGAAACACCCACCTCGAGGAATGATCACACCACAGTCCCTTCTCCTCTCTCTCCCCCTCCTTTTGGGATTTTGGGTGTACACATACACAAGCGTGGCCTGTTTTTCAATCTGCCAGGTCTAGGATTCCAACCGTGTGTTTGGCCTTGTGGGATCCAGCCTCCTCAACCACCCTGCTACAGAGCACCTTTTTGATTTTGAGTGTTGTTCATTTGTTCCTCCCAGATTCCACCTAGGTCCCAGGAAAGTGCCGACTTGGATACCGAGGTGGAAAACACTTGGGGGGACCTTTCTTGCTCTCCTAGCTCACCAGCAGTGCCCAGCCACGTGCACTTTGTGAGCCAGCTCCATACCATAGTCCTGTCCTCTGCCCCCTTCCCATGCAGAGGTCAGTGCCTTCACCCCAGCCCTCGAGGCCTGCAGTGGAAACCAGGCTCTGAGCCTCTTTTGGGTTTCTTCATCCTCTCTAGGTTTTTGCTATGTATTTTGCTTCCCCTTTCTATTCCCTATAACCAGTTCTTCTTTCTAAAGATTATTCTCAGTAAAAATAATTTCCAATTTACATATTCTGAGATCAAGATTCACCCAGTTGCCTAAAAAATAAGTCCATGTGGTCTCATGTTTTGTGATGGGAGTCACCCTTGGGAGATGTTGTGCTGGGTCCGATGACCGTCCTGAGGCCTTGCTCCTCCCGACCAAACACTAACACTCACTTCCAGTCTGTATTAAATGTATTAGTGGTAAAAATCAAAAGTATTTTGTAATCAGTTGGCAAAAATCATTAGGTGAGCTCTAACTAATTTTATCTTTTCTATTTTTTCCCCCTGAAATAAATTTTTTTATGAGCAAACACACACACACACACACACACACACACACACACACACACACAGACTTATGCTTTCTTTTTTGAGAGAGAATTTTTTACTCTATGTTTTTTGCATGTGCGCTTGCTGGAAAGACAGAACGTGAGAAATCACACACACACACACACACACACAGACACACATACACACCCGGGGAGAGGGCCATGCCGCAGTCACTTCTTCATTCTCCTCTTGGGATCTTGGGCTCTTACACACATGCACCCAGCGTCAGGTTTATGCCACTGGGTCCAGGACTCGAACCACAGTCGACTACCTGAGAGTCCAGTGATATAACCATTACGCCCTCTGCTGGTCCCAGCACCTACATTTTTAATAGCCTGTTTTTCATGCTAAAAATAGTGGTGGGACTGAGCACAGTTACTTGGGAGTGAGTGAGGTAAAATTTCAGGTGTCTTTTTATTTCCATCCCAATCCCACCTGCCCACCCCCAGCCTGCCTTTGAACTGTGGGACGGGGTCATAGAAAAGGCCTACGGAGGAGGCTGTGCTGCCCCTGCGTGTTTGCCCTTTGGCCTCTGCTCTTCTTCCAGAATGGTTTGCAGTGGGGTCTGCGTGTCTAGAAAGCGTTACAGAGTTCCCTGCTCAGGTGCATAGCACTACGTCTTCAGACCCCCTTTCCTTTCTTCGTGGAGCTGGAAATGTATGTTGTCATTTGGAGGAAATAAAAAGAAAGTTCATTAATTTGAAATATTGTTGAGACTTTATTCTATCTACATCATGTAAACCCTTTCTTATCGGTCCAGGCTGTTTTCTGATTTTCTGTGACATCACTGTTTCAGTGCTGCTCACCCAGTGGACACTTCCTATATGTTTGAAAGAGAAAGCAGGGTAGATAGCTAGGGGTGGGGATAACGGAGGGAGGAGTGGGGCGGGCATTGGGATATGCAGGTTTCAGTCTCATTCTCGTTCCAACTCTCTCTGTGACTTTGTCAGAATACTTAACTGCCTGGAGCTTCTTTTTTCTCATCTGTAAACGAGAGAGTTGTTAAATGATGTCTAAAAGTGTCGGCCCCCCACTTGGTTATTTAGTGCTTTCCTAACAAGTGCCTGTTGTGTGCCAGACACTGTTACAGATGTTGGCAATATGGTAGACAACCTGAGAGCCACTACGCCTGCCCTTCCCGATGGTGTTCTGGGAGGGGCAGTGGGATATCTGGCTCATCTGCTGCATAGCAGAAATAGTAACTTGAAGGACGGTTCTGGCTTTGTGTCTGGTTTGGGTAGCACCATGGCAAAACCTTTAATTGCTTTGTTCCTTTGTTTTCTCATCTGTAAAATGAAGATAGTAATAGCTTTGTTTTTGAGAGAGAGAGATTTTTACTATTGGGCACGTGTGCTTGCCAGAGAAACAGAAAGAGACTCAAAGCAAGAAATTGTCCCTAGGGAGGGTGGCCATGCCTCAATCCCTCCTCCTCCATTCTCTTGGAATCCTGGACAGGTATGGAGGTTGAAGTCATCGGGTCTGGGACTCAAACCACGGTCGACTATGTGGGAGTCCAGCAATATAACCCTTATGCCATCCGCTGGTCCCAAAGATAGTAATATCTAACTTGCTTAGTCTAGACAGTCGTTTTAAGTCTCAAATAGAAGCATGCATGTGGGAATGCATTTGAATATAGTAGTGGTATACATTATAGTAGGCAGTAGGGTCTGTAGTAACTCAAACATTATTTTGCTATAAAATTTTTACATGTAATTTATTTCAACGTGGATGGGAAGAGTCTAAATTAACTTAATCTTGGAGTTCAGAGGTACTTAAAAATATAAAATACATTTGTTTTTCTTCTCTTCACAGAAAAAGATCATGCTGAACATGTTTTTAGACACAATGATGGCCGACCCTCCTCCCCAGTGCCTTGTCTGGCTACCTCTCATGCACAGGCTTGCCCACGTCGAGAATGGTGAGCAGAACCCTGGGGTAATTGACGCGCCCGGAACTACGGGAACTGATTATGGCGAAGTTCTTAGCTGTGGATATGAGGGCAAATTTCCTGATGTCTGCTGGCCCTCTCTCTCCTTTGAATTTGTGGTTTTGACCTTCAAAGGAGGAATATTTCTTTCTTTTAGAATGGGGATAAGCTTACTACTTAACATATTAAGAAGCAGTACTAGCAGGTCATAAAACTTGGTGGTTCAGACTCTAGACCTCTCTTCCTGAAGATTCCAGTTGACTGTTTTCTGCTCAAACATATCTGACCTAGCCCTGACTTCCTTTTTTCCCCCTTTAATTTATCAAAATCATAGCTCTAAAAAATAGGATATAAATAATATCAACTACTAAAACTATAATTATTTTGGAATCATTTAAGGAAAAATAGCTAAGGTACAATTTTTTTAAAAAAGAATTATTTTATTTAACTTTATTTATTTTAATTTGACCAGAGAGCGATAGAGACAGAGAAAGAAAGAAGGAAAGTGAGAAAGCAAGCCACCACCAGGTCCAGGACTTGAACCACGGCTGGCCAAATGGGAGTCCATTGCCCTTAACCACTACACCCTCTGTTGACCCCGGATAAGATACACTTTTGTACTTGGTTTCAACATCTATATATATTTTTTCCTTCACTGTTTAAGCTTGAATCTACTCTTGATATCCTTCCTAGTAATTTGACTTAAATCTCTGTTGGGCTTTGAATTGAAATGGTACTTCTTTTTTTCTTTTTTTTTTTTTTTAAGGTTTTTACCATAGAGCATGTGTACTTGCCAGAGAGAGAGAGAGAGAGAGAGAGAGAGAGAGAGAGAGGTGACGAGAGAGAAAGTGAGCAATCATGCCTCCGGGGATGATAGCCATTCTCCTCCCCGGACCTTGGGCATGCACACACATGTTCCTGGCATGGTTTTTAAGCCGCTGGGTCTGGGGCTCGAACCGCCGTCAGCCATGTAGAAGTCCAGCATCTTAACCACCATGCCACGTGCTGGTTCCCAAATGGTACTTATTTTTTTAGTAGTTTCTTAATTTTGTCTGCTGTTGCCATCAGTTTCCCTCCTCGTTTGGGTTGTTCGAATCTCAAAGGGAAAGCTGTGGCTTTATGTGCAGTCTCCCTTCTCCCTAGGCGTTTACCTGCTCTTCATCCCACAGACTCGAACAAGGAGTAGCTGAGAAGCCACAGAAGGCAGTCTTCTTTTCCCCCTATATGAATGAAACATACTTCTATACTATTTTTATTTACTTCTCTTATTCTCCTTTTGTAAAAAAAATTCTTCCCCTTTTACCGAACTATGGCTTTAGTTTACAAGTAACTCAGATTTAGAACTATTTTCTTAAAGGACAGAATCTCTTGACTAAACTCAAAACAGCTCAATTTTTTTCAAATAGAACTTTTGAATAGATATTCAGATATTGGCGAGAAATGCTTTTGTAGCCTTACGTGCGTTAGTAGTTTTATACCCAATTCATTTTAAAATGTTATTCCACATAGAAAGAGCCAAATTTGTCAAGATGTGTTTTACCCATATAAATATTTTAGGTTCTGTCTCTATTTTTTCCCCCATATGGCATGTGTGTGCACAGAGAGAGACAGAGAGAGACTAAGTGAGAAATCATCCCCAGGAAGGATGGCCACACTGCAGTCCCTTCTCCTTCATCCTCCTCCTGGGATTTTGGGCATGCACACACATGCATCTGATGTGAGTTTTAAGCCACTGGGTCCGGGGCTTGAACTGGGGTCAGTCATGTGAGAGTCCAGCACCTTAACCACCATACCACTTGCTGGCTCCCATATAAATATTTTATTGTGACTTTTTATGTAGTATATTATTTATTAATTGCATTTTTTTGAGAGATTTTTGCTATAGGGTGCGTGCACTTGCCAGAAAGACAGAGAGAGACAGAAAGACAGAAAGCAAGAAATCCCCCCACCCCGCCCCCAGGGAGGATGGCCATGCTGCAATCCCTTCTCTGTTTTTCTCTCAGGATCTTGGGTACGTATGCACACATGCCCAGTGTGAGTTTAAGCCACTGGGTCTGGGACTCGAACCACGGTAAAGTACATGGGAGTCCAGCGACATAGCCATTACTCCAACTGCTGGTTCCTTAATTGCATTCTTTTGTGGTTAGCAATGCAATTTTTCTTGGAGACAGAGAGATATTATGAAATCTTTGAAATAGCTATTACACTACCATTTGTCTATACATTTCCATTTCAACGGTGAGAAACAAATTCTAAAATTATGATATCTGCAGGGTTTTTGTTTTAGTTTGTTTGGCCTTTTATTTACTGTGATATCACTTGAATTACACTGTTGGTACTATTTGTAAGGATAACATTTATTTGCTTAGGCAAAAGTTGTACTGTGTTGGTTTACCAAGCCCAGAGTAGAGTATACAAGAGGAGAAGCTCTAGATGATGCCCTTAGCCGACATAGCACTTTCATCCGAGTGCGAGCAGCCCTTGTCTTTCTTATAATCACCCTTATCTTTCTTATTTATGGGCAACTTCTTTATCCTTTCCTCATTCCGCTTTTCTACGTGGACTAAGCATTGGCTCTTGACTGGTGTAGAAGGGAGTAGAAGAAAATTAGAGGCATATAGGCTCTACAGTATTATCAGAATATATTTGATAATGTAATATTAGAATACCTATATCATTGGAACCAGCGCTTGGTGTAATGGCTATGTCACTGGACTCCCATGTAGTCGACCGTGGTTCCAGTCCCGGACCCAGTGGCTTAAACTCACGCCAGGTGCATGTGTGTGCATGCCCAGGATCCCTAGAGGAGAACGGAGGAGAAGGGATTGCGGTGTGGCCATCCCCCCTGGGGGATGATTTCTCACTTTCTCTCTCTCTGTCTTTCTGGCAAGCGCACACGCCCTATAGCAAAAACCTCTAAAAAAACCAAAAAAGAATACCTATATTATTTACTGTTACCCATATATATTAACCCACAGTTGCTTAGCATTATAAATATTGGCATCATATATATACACACACACACACACACATATACACACATATATGTTTATATGTACACACATATATATACATACACGCACACACATACATACACATGTTTGGTTTTTTGTTTAAGAGAGATTTTTGCTATAGGGCATGTGTGCTCACTAAAGAGAAAGAAAGCGAGAAATTACCGCCCCGGGGGATGGCCACGCTGCAATCCCTTCTCCTCCATTCTCTTCCTGGGATCTTGGGCACATATGCACACATGCCTGGTGGGAGTTTCCAGCCTCAGTGTGCGGGACTTGGACTAGGGTCAGCCATGTGGGAGTCCAGCAATGCAACCATTACACCATCTGCAGGTCCCCCAGCAGCCCTGACGTTTGCCCTGGATTGATTTGGGAGTTGTGTTCTCTGAAGGAACTATACTAGCTACCGTCGTCAATTTGAAGCATATATTCTTATTAGCACTTATGTCATTTTTTAGAGATATCTTGATAACACCAAAAAATAGGATGTCTTAGATAAAGTAATTCCCCTTGTTTTTCTCATTTCTGACTTAATTTTTTGTTAGCTTTTAGCAATTTCTTATATTGTTTCTCTCACCTACTACTCAGATTTTTGTTTTTTGATTTTTTGAGTCTCAGTTCTCTAGTAAATACACATTATGGAAGTAGAACTAAAAATCCTTAAAGTTGAGATAAGACTGGTCTTATATAGAGGATGCTAGAAAGAGTTGTTCCAATGAAGACTTGAATACGGTAACTTTTTCCTGCTATCATTTCTTGTGTCAGAATTGAATTGCCAAAGGAAACGAGTAGTTATGCTACCAATATTTAAAAGTATAAAGAAGGTCTACAACGTGCAGTGTGCATTGCCTATGATAGTGTATGTCCCTTTCCCATTTAGTGAACTGGAATTACAAGTTGTAGGAGAATCGCAGTGGTCTCTACGAGTCTTTCTCCTCTCTGACAAGTGCATGCACCCTCTAGCATGTTAAAAAAAAAAAATAGTGGCCAGGCATGTGGTTAAAGTACTGGACTCCCATGGCCAACCATGGTTTGAGTCCTGGACCTGGCAGCTTCATAATCATGTTGGGCTCATGTGTGTGCATGCCCAGAATCCAGAGAGGAAAATGGAGAAGAGATTGCGGTGTGGCCAGCCCCACAGCACGGTGATTCGTCGTTTTCCCTCTCTCTCTCTCTGGCAAGTCCATATGCCTGATGGCAAAAACCTTAAAAAAGAAAAAAGAAAGTAACATTTCAATTCAAAGCCCAACTTTCTGTCTCTCCAACGACTGCATATGTCCTATGCCAAAAATATAAAACAACAACAACAATAACAGTAAAAAACAAAACAGCTAACTGCCTGCCCTGGCAGTTCTCCTTAAGGTGACACGCTGGGTTCAGTGGAGAGAAGAGGAGCAGGTCCCTGAGTTTCCTTCTCCCAAACCACTGACTATTCATTGGTCTATGCTATTTTTAGTTATTTACAATAAACAAGAGCTTTTTATATTTTATTAAAGAATTGTTTTATTTAACTTTATTTATTTACTTATTTTTAATTTGACCAGAGAAGGACAGAGTGAGAGAGAGGGGAAGTGAGAAAGCAAGCCAGCAGATCCAAGACTTGAACCGTGGTCGGCCATATGGGAGTTCAGCACCCTTAAGCACCATACCACCTGCCGGCCCAGAGCTTGTTAATTACTGCTCTTTCCTATAGTGAATGCTTTAATAGGCCTAGCCTTTCTTTTCCTAGTTATCATTGATGCCCAAGTATTTGCGTGGTGTTTAATTCAACAAAGTCTGAAGGCCTCAGTCCAAGCTGCCGTGTAAAATACTGACACATAACACATCATCCTGGATCTCATGGCTTTTATAAATCAGTGAAGGAAACATATTTAGCTAACAATAATATAATAGTCCTGGTTCTCAGAAATTTTTATACATTAGTAAAAACTAGTAAACAAATGTATATATACATCTTCTTTTGAAAACAACAGTAGGGCCAACCTGTAGCGTGACAGCTAAGGGTGTGCCATCCCACATGGCTGACTACATGGTTTAAGCCTCGGACCCAGCGGGTTGAAGAACACTTCAGCACCTGTGTGTGCCTGCTCAAAATCCTGAAAGGAGAAATGGAGAAGAGATTGTAGCATGATCATCCCCATGAGGTTACTTTCTCTCTCTCTCTCTCTCTCCTCTCTGACAAGTGCATGCACCCTCTAGCTAATTAAAAAAAAAAAGGGGGGGGGGCCAGGCATGGTGGTTAAGGTGCTGGACTCCCATGGCCAACCATGGTTTGAGTCCTGGACCTGGCAGCTTCAAAATCATGTTGGGCTCATGTGTGTGCATGCCCAGAATCCAGAGAGAAGAATGGAGAAGAGATTGCAGTGTGGGCAGCTCCCCAGCAGGGTGAGTTGTCATTTCCCTTCCCTCTTTCTCCGGCAAGTCCATGTGCCTGCCCTATGGCAAATACCTTAAAAAAAAAAAAAAGAAAGAGAGAAAGAAAGAAAGAACCATTTCAATTCAAAGCCCAAGTTTCTGTCTCTCCAGTGAATGCATATGTCCTATACCGAAAACATAAAACAACAACAACAACAACAAAAAACAAAAACAGGAGAAAAAAATTGTGCAGTGAATATTTCAGGCTCCTCCTTACTTGTGTGTTTTATCTAAGTTTTGAGAAACAAGAATTTCTTTCTGTTAAGTCTGTTTATTGTATTCATGTTAGAGAGTGCATGCAGGCACATAAGAAGAGTAGTGGAGGTGGGAGGGGGAGAGAAGCACCCTGACAGGGTCTTCCAGCTCCTTCGGATCTTGGGCATAGACACATGCACCTACCCAGTGCATGCGAGAATCCAAACCTAGAGTCGGTTGTGTGGCCTCCAGTGCTGGAGTTCATTTTGGGTATGGACCGTGTCACCAGGCATGAGTTTCATTTTAGTGAAGGAAACTGACTTTTTTTTTAAAGAGAGATTTTTGCTATAGAGCATGCATGCTCACCAGCGAGACAGAAAGTGAGAAATCACCACCCAGGATTGACGGCTATGCCGCAGTCCTTTCTCCTCCATTCTCTTCTTGGGATCTTGGGTACACATCCACTCAGCATGAGTTTAAGCCACCGGGTCCAGGACTCAAACCAGGGTCGACTTCGTGGGAGTCCAGCGATATAACCATAATTCCATCTGCTGGTCCCCGGAACTGACAGTTTTCTAAAGTGGATTGGAATGTGGTCATTTACATTGAAGTTTTCCCCTATTTATTAGTAATTCTTTTCTGCTTATTCCAGTAAATGGCTGGTTAAATGAGCAGACAATTTAGGCTCCTCAGGGCTCATTTTGTTTTCACCTTTGCTTTTTTGTGTTAGATTTGGTTTTCCTCTGTATCGACTTTATTTCCAAATGAACATTCTGCCTTTCTTCTCCTCCCGCCCCACCCGTCCGCGCTCGCCTGTCTCCGTCTTCTCTCCTGCCTGAAGTCTTCCATCCTGTGGAGTGCTCCTACTGCCGCTGTGAGAGTATGATGGGTTTCCGGTACCGATGCCAGCAGTGCCACAACTATCAGCTCTGCCAGAACTGCTTTTGGCGTGGCCATGCCAGTGGCCCTCACAGCAATCAGCACCAGATGAAGGAGCATTCCTCTTGGGTAACTGCTCTGTGTGTCATTCGTGTTCCCGACTGTTAATCTGTCCATCAGTCACAGCCCCGGGTCGGTTTTCGGATGGACGCCTAATAAACAAGGATGTGGTGTAATGCAATCTCAATACTAACATTTATGCTGGGCTTGCAAAAATGTGCTTTCTCACATGGTTTTAAAAGCAGAGTTAAAAAAAAAAGTTCTGGGAGATATTATTACATTTGAAATGGTCCCCTTTATTTGGTTGAAATGGGATATTACAGTGCTCTCTTTCCAAAGTGAAAAGAAAGTTTCTTGTTTTAAAATTATACAAGGGATAGCTCCCTAAGCATGTATCCTTTTGAGCTTTAAATAAGATTTAAAATTTTTTTATAAGAAAATTTCCTTCATGTTCATAAGGTGGTGCAAAGAAAGCAGCACAAAAGGAAGGAGTTAAAATTTCACCTCCCCAATGTTGGAGAAATTATTGAAGTTGACGATCATCACCACATTGTTTTTACCTTTAAAAGTTGTTTTGAGGGACCAGCAGTTGGTGTAATGGCTATGTTGCTGGACTCCTGTGTAGTTGACTACAGTTCGAGTCCTGCACCTGGTTGCTTAAACTCACACCGGGCACATGTGCATGCATGCCCAAGATCCCAAGAGGAGAGGGGTGAAGGAATAGAGGTGTGGCCATCCCCCCTTGGGGATGATTTCTCGCTTTCTGTCTCTCTGTCTCTCTCTGTCTTTCTGGCGAGCACATGCACCCTATAGCAAAAGCCTCTCCAAAAAAAAAAAGTAGTAGTTCTGAAAATAATAATATTTGGGTGGAGGTCAATGTCTGATTTTTCTGTGGTGTTATAACATGCTTATTATCAATTATTTTTCTTTTCCTTCTTCCTACTTATTACTAGCGTTTTTAAAGTGCCATGCTTTCTTTCTAAAATGTTGCTATAGCCTTTGTTTTAAAATATTTTCTTCGAGTTTTTGGTTGGCTGGTTGGTTTGCTGAAGGGTAGAAAAGTACAGGGTCACTAGTGTAAGTCATGATTTATGTTGCTAAGCTTTAGGTCTCCCTGCTGGACTTCGAATACTAGGAAGCTTTAATAATAACAAGTCCTTCCCCCTTTAGTCCTCTTAAAACTTGGCCAAGAAAAAGCAAATAAGCTTATATCAGGGATTAAAGAAAACAAAAAATAAACTTTGGCCCATATGCATGCTTTACTTCTTATATCTCTGACATGTTAGAAATGTATTTTTCTTATTAGGTGGGTTTTCAGCTATAATTAACTACAAAATTTTCTTAAACTGAACCTTCTCTACAGGGTCTTGTGTTGTAAAATATGTATATATATGTATTTGTATGTGTATTATATATAATACATATATGTGTGTATATATAATACACATATATACATATATGCATATGTATATTTCATATATATTTATATATGGAATATACATATTTATTTATTGGTTGAGGGGCCATTTTTTTTTAATCTTTAAAAAATAAAGAGAAAAAGAAAAACAACCTAGTAGTTTCTTCCTCATTGAATAAGGAGAATTTGCAGATTTTTGAATTGTTATGTTACTTCTGCTTTCTCAAAGTTTCCCATTAGTTCGTCGATTTGTTAATCTTCCACTGAGTTTTATCTAGTCTGACTCTTCACACTGAGAGGGTTTTTTTCTGTCTTACTTTTCATAATGATCAGGGTCACTGTACGTTTCTGTTGAGAGTTCGTTCTGGGCGTTGGGGCAAGGAGGATGAGGAACTTCCCGTTCCTCTTAGTTGGAACTTAGTCATTTAGCTCATTTTAACCCTTTTAAAAATGGTGATTTTACCTATTTGACAAGAAGTGACTATTCAGATGTGCTCTATGATTTACAAAGCGCTTTCACACACTCTGCTAAATTTTTTTTATCAAGTTATAACGTGGATTCAGAAAAGCACGCAAATCCTAAGTGAGCTGTTGCACTCCTGTTCGATCCTCACAGTGCTTTTCTAAAGTAGGTCGTATTTCCATTTGTTGTTTTTATTTCTGCTTTGTTAGTCCCCCCCATTTTGTTAATTTCTTGATTTCTGTTGTAGTGACTTAGATTTCAAGAAAAATCAAGTGTTATCAGCATCATAAATGTACGTTTTGAATTTTGATGGGCAAGTGCACTGCGTTTGGTAGGCGCATGCTGGCGAAGTCTTGCGGCAGGATGTTCTGTGCTCATGCAGCTTGTTTTCAGAGGGGTGACTGTACGTGCAGCCCTGTCGCTCCTTGGAGAATATGTGGCTGAATCCTGAGACCGGATGAAGAGTTTTCCACCTAACAGACCATTATCTAATCGGTTTATTAATCATTTCTGTGAAGATGATACACTGCTATTTTGAATGAATGTTTCCATATGTTTGTGGCAGATGCACTCAGTGAGTGCTTAACCAGCTTGTGTATGAGTTTGCATTTTAGGTTTAATTAGTGTAGTGTTTAGGACCTGGAATTTTAATTTGATTTTTCTAAAAGTTTCTGTTTAATGTCCTGAGTAACTATGCAGTATAATTCATTATTTGTATAGTCCTCTGTCCATGTAGTTTGCGTTTATTATGAAAAAAATGCTCTGAGATTCATCCTGTCCGTTCACTCAAAAGATTTTTTTTTTTCCATTTTAGGTTTTTGTCATAGGGTGAGTGTGTTTGCCGAAGAGAGACAATGAAAGGGAAAGTGAGAAATGACCCTCGAAGGTGAGTGGCCATGCCTCAATCCCTTCTCCTCCATTCTCCTCCTGAGATTTTGGGCATGCATGAACACTTGCCCGGTGAGATTTTCAAGATGCCAGGTCTGGGAGTTGAACTATGACCTGCCATGTGGGAGTCCAGTGCTTTAATCATTACGACACCTGCTGGCCCTGTACAAAAGATATATTTCAACAGACTTTTTTTGAGTACTTACTATGTGCCAGGACCTGTCAGAGACACTTAAGATAATCTATGATCAAACCAGACAAAGATTCCTGCCCTTGCAGAGCTTATTCATTCATTCATTCATTTTTATATAGGTTTTTGCCACAGGGTATGTGCACTTGCTGGAGAGAGACAGTGAGAGGGAAAGTGAGAAGTCACCCACAGGAGGGGATGGCTATGGTGCATTCCTCCTCTGTTCTCTTCTTGGGATTTTGGGCATGCACACATGTATGCCTAACATGATTTTCAAGCTGCCAAGTCTGAGACTTGAACCATGGTTAGCCATGTGGAAATCCAGCACTTTAATTCTCACCCCACTTGTTGGCCCCCTTGAGCTTATGTTTTAAAGAGTATGAAAGAGACCACTAGGACTCACCAACATCATGGCTTTCCTGTTCTCACTTGTCACTCATTGAACTGTGGATCTCAGCATCCCTGTGTCTAAGTGGGACCGTGTGACTAGTTCTCTCCAGTGAGAAGTGAACAAGTGCCTCCTTTATTGTCTTCCATCTTGGTGGAGAGAATCCCAGTGGCCCCAGAGGAGAATAAAACCATTAAAGGAAACTGGGTCCTCGACTCGTGGGTGGGCAGAGCTATCTGCCAGCCCTCTCCATGGTGGTGAGGGCACGATAAAGACTGTTACATCACTGAAGGGTTAGGCTTTGCTCCAGCAGGTAGTACTGGAAATCAAAGCCTTTCCATGGTGGCTTTGCCTTAGCAGTCAGGGAGCACACTGACCCGAGACAGAGACTGACGGGAAAGACAGAAGCCCATGTTTCGTGGTGGTGACCGGTGTGGTAGCTTGGTTATCTGTGATTGCTTGGAAGGCACGCCTCATTGCCAGCTGAGTCCTGGGTCAAATGCTGGAAAGGAGCCGCATGAGACTGTTAATGTTAAAGTTATTACAGCAAAGAGATGAGCATAGAAAGAATTGGCTAATTTTAAATGGCAAGTAAAAAACTAGAGGGGAATGGAGAAAGTTCTTACACGTGGTGCAGTGAGAGGAACAACAGGCTGCCTCGCCCGCCTCCAGACCCTGGAGAGCGAGAGAGAGAGGCTTTACGTAACCGAGGCCTGCTCAGCATGCTCAGCTGAAAAGACGACTCGGTTCTGGGCCGAAGATCAGATTTAAGGGTATGGGCCCTTGTTCCTGGCTGCTTGTTAGGGTCACCTTGATCCCACCTACAGAGCTTCTGATTTATTGGTCTGAAGTACACGGAACCTGGACGTCGAACAGTTTGTGAAAGTTTCTCAAGCAATTCTATTGTGCAGCCAAAGCTGGGGTCCTTGTTGTTTCATGTGGCCTCCAGGTGGCTTCTGTTAGTGGAAAGCCAGAGGCGTGGATGCAGAGAATCAAACCCGCCCTGAGAACTGTGTCTAGGAAGAACTCTGGTGACTGGCACATGGAGCTAGCTGGAAACAAAGAGATCAAAGGCCTGCTGACTTTCTGAGGGAATTATATTGGCAAAGAAACCATGAGCCTGGACTGAACAAGCCCTTGATTATTTGAGCTTTTAAAAAAACAAAAACACTTAAAAAAAACCTCTCAGAACGTGTCCTGACAGGGTGAGTTGCTGGGTCATGAAGGTTGCGCAGTCCAGAAGGAGGGCATGTGCTGGAGACCACTTGGCCACGGAGGAAGAAATGTCTGCTCCTGTCCCACTATAGTGTTTTGATTTTTAGTTTTTGCTATAGCATGTGTACACTTACTGGAGAGAGACGGTCTGAGTGTGTGTGTGTGTGTGTGTGTGTGTGTGTGCATGAGAGGGAGAGAAATCACCCTCCCCCCCTGGGGGGGGATGGCCACCTGGAAATCCCTTCTCTTTCTTTTATTTTTTTAAAAAATATATATATTTAATTTTATTCATCCTTATTATTTATTTTTTTAAATTTGACCAGAGAGAGAGAAAGAAAAAGGAAAGTGAGAAAGCAAGCCACCAGGTTCAGGACTCAAACCACAGCTGGCTATATGGGAGTCCAACACCTTAACCGCTATACTACCTGCTAGCTCCAGTCCCTTTTCTTTCATTCTCCTCATGGGAGTCCAACACCTTAACCGCTATACTACCTGCCAGCTCCAGTCC